AGGGGGGGGGGTCCCCCACCTTTGCTTTTGGGGCAGCAGGACTCTGTTCTCTTGGTTTGTTCCTTCATACCCTCCGGGGGGGGGGCGGACAAACAAATCTGCCAAAGATCAGTGGTTGGGTTTTGAGTTAAAATTAAAACCAAATATGTTTTACACCCCAGAAGCATCAAATGGGGTTTTTTTAAGGTTAAAAACAGGCAAGAGCAGAATACGCTGGCGTATTAAAACAGCCCAGGGACTGTGCCTGCAGTTGGGAAATGCCCCCGTGCCCCCTCGCTTTTGAGGCTCCGCAGTTCCCAGCTCCAAAAGCGGGTGCTGATCCCCGGCCACGCTCACTTGGGTGCGACGGGGGCTCGCGTAGGGCCTGATCCTGCGGCGGAGGGCGGGTGCGTAGCGCAGGGCTGCTCCTCTCCCTGCAGCTCAGCCCGCGCTGAGCCCGGTGAAGGACGAAGCCTGGGGAGGTCTGTGGGGATGCGCAGCAAGGGCTGATCCGCAGAGATAACGAGGGCAAGGAATATTGCTGGGCTTCAGCCTTCCCTCCCTGGGCCTCTTCAGGGCAGAAGGATCCTGGGGATACCTGGAGGTATTGCCAGAGGGGAAGAAACCATCAAGATTTGGAGAATAAACTACCCTGGGAAATTATTCTCGCCGTGAGCCCAGCAGCTCACCCCTTTTACCAGGCATATTTTGACCCTCATCCCACGTTCAGTTCGTCTTAAGCCTTTACGTTTGACACAATTAATGAGCAAATATCTGTTTTATTTTCTGTTTCAACATTCAGGCTTTGCATAATGTTAGGAAGCGCGGCCGCTTTTCTTTTAATTTGGAGGGAGTCCCTTTTTTGCAGAAGGTGGACGGACGCGCTCCCGGGAGACAGCCGCCGGGTGAGTCATCTCCGTGCAGAAATAGCTCTGCTGGGAGCCGTGACAGGGTCCTGCAGGGATTTCACTTCTCCCTACCCCGGATGGAGCCAGCTGCTCCATCCCACGCCGCTAGCGGTGTGCCCACGGGCACTGCCAGCTCCTGGCTGCATAGAACGAGGTAATTTAGGGCTGGCAGATTTGCTAAGTAATTTTTTTTAAAATTTTTTTTTTTTTCTCTCCGCTCCCCTCCTACGCAGGGCAGAGTCAGGGTTTGAGGTGGCTGCTGCCAGACCCCACAGCTCAGCCTGCTCGTCTTTAGCTGGAGAGGGTGAGCGCTGGGTTATTCCGTCGCTCCTAACCCTGGTATTTCCCTTTTCTGTGGCGTAGGGGGAAAACAGCACGTGGGGATGTGATTTGCCCAGTAGCTCCCAGAGGCCAGTGGTGAGAAGTCCCATCCTAGACCTTTATTCTTTATCATTTAATAAATAAAGCTGGTTGAGATTTTAATTTCTCTGCATAAAAGCAGTGCACATTTAGAAACAATTAATAGCAGCGTTAGGGATGGCTGAGAGCAGGAGGAGGCTCTTGAGGAAGCGTGGCAGGGATGCTCCAGTCTCCTGCCAGTAGATGGGGGCAGCAATTGTCCAAGCTGACTTCACGGATTATCGTTTTCCTTAGAAATCCTTTAGAAAATGGTCAGGTGGTCTCTCTTCTCCCCCACAACCCCCGAAGGGGAAGCAGCCCAAGGGGTGCTTGGCTCAGGGCCCTGGGCTGGCAGTGCTGGGGACACTGGGGCAAGGAGCCCTCTGAAGCAACTGGTTTTGTTTTCCAGCCCTTGGGAGCGGCTGGCTTTGTCCTCGCTGGGGCTGTGGGTGCCCACGGTGCTTCAGGGAGAGCAAAGTGATGCCAGGGAGGTGGAGAGAGGAGGCGGGAGCTTGCAGGGAGCTCTGCTGAGGACAAGTTAACATGAGATCGGGGTGGCTGATGCTGCTTCCAACCTCGTACTGGTCAGCTCGCGAAGGAGACCGAGCTAAAATAAGCCAAACTGGCTTTTCCCCAGCTCATAGGTCAGGTTTATATGTATATAACATTAATTCAGGAGAGGTGGCTAAATGAAAGGTGTTTGAGCAACCTCAGCCCCCATAGATTGCATTGTTCGGGTCCGTGTTTGCCCTCATCTGCCCGAAATCCAAGCTGTGTGCTGTTAACCATTCCCGTTATGCAAAATGCAAAAACCTTGGGCCCAGAAGAGCTTTTTGAGGGGCGGGTTAACTCCCCATGTCCATGTCATCCCTTACAGCCACCCGTAACGGCGTCCGAGAGGTTAACCAGCCATTCCAGGGCTCTCCCTGTGCTGCTGCAAAATCTTCTTAAGGCTTAGACCCGAATTATTTTCTCACCTCTGGCAGCTTTTCAGAATATAATGATGAAAATTACAATTACTCTTCCACATTTAATCTTTTTTTTCTGTTTCGCTTGGTTTGGACCCGAAAATCATGGTGGCTAATGCCACTCCCAGGCTGGCTGTAGCATTATTTGGCTTCAGCTGATGTCTGTAAATAAACATCAGCTTTTGACGGAAGCCTCTACAAAGAAATAACTAGTGTTTGGCTTGAAGGTTTCACAAAAAAAAAAAGTCGCTTTTACAAGATTTCAACCCAGGGTTTAATTTTGAGTGCCCGCTTCCCTTTGCAGTATGCCACCTTGGCGTTGCCGTTGTGGTTTATTATTTTAGCAGAGTCATGAATCGTATTTGTGCCCAAAATAGTGTGATGCTGGGCTTCAAACCAGACAAATCCCACACAGATCACCTTCAGAAGAAAAATTCTTCCTGTTGTCATGCTGATGACAAAAAAAAATCATTGAAATCCTCCTAGCCCCAGCTAAGGTGAGCTACTGGTGGCCAGTTAAAATTCCCCGTGTCCCAGTGTGCTGTTCCTCCCGCTAACCCATCTGGCTGAGTTTCCAGTCGGATTTGGCTGCGAGGTTGGGTTTTTTGGGTTTTTTTTTTTTTTGAGGTTTCCCATCTCTCTGCTCTGATGGTTTTGGACCACAAGAGGTCGGCAAAATTCAGGAGACGTAACCCGGGCTCTGCCTTCGCTCTGGGGCAGCAGACGGGCACATCCTCACCGGAGCTGCCTGGGCACCCGCTTTCATTCCAGGATAATTACTGCATTAAAAGAAACACCCCAAACTAATTATACTGGAAGAAAATCAGGGCAATTTTGGAACAAGGCGTGTGTTGCCGGGGTTTATTGCCGAGACATTCTGCTGGCTGCTTTCACATGCTGCAAAACCCGGGCGCTCGGGGGAATTAAGAGGGATCAGCAGCATTAAACGGGCTCTGCCTGCTCACCCCCCTCTCCGGAGACTCCTTTAATTCCTCCGTTCATGGTACGAAAGGTTCCGAGCTTGGGAGGTCACTGCAGGACGCAGAGCCCAGCCGTGCCATTTGGTTGCTGTGCCCAAAGGTGGCAGCTGGGGAAAAACCCAAGCCCTTAACCAAAGTCCCCGTTTTTTGTGATTTTCAGCCAGGAAAGCCGCTCTGAGAGCCCTCAGCGCTGCCTTCAGCAACACGCTGCCTGCAGAGGGATGGTCTTAAAATGAAAAGGTGCTGCGAGGGCGTTGGGCTGCCATGCCTGTTTAAGGTCAGTGCCATTCCCACCCATCCTGTCCTCTCTGAACGGGGCTGTCCCCTCTTTTCTCAGGGGCAGGGAGCGGGAATTGGGTCCCCATCCTGCAAACCTCTGGCCACAGGCAGCGCGGGAGCAGCCGGGAGGTGAGCGGGTGCTGCCGGGGCCGCGGTGGCTTGAGCCAAGGGGAGCGGGTGGGCACTGGGAGGCTGGGCTGGGGCTCACTGGCTTTGCGCTGTGTTGGCAAAGTGGGTTTAGTCTGGGTTTAGAGCAGGGCAGGAGGTGGCTCTGAGTTATCCCGGGCTTTGCAGGAGCCTGCAGAGCCCAACCCAGGGGGAAACTGCATCCGGGGGATGGAGCAAAAATCAACCTGCAAAATATTTTCCTCTGTTGGGAAGAGCCACAATTGTCCTGGCAGCAAGAGGCATCTGCAGGGACACAAACCCCTTTTCAGAGGTGGGACAGGAGCAGGTTGGGGGGGTAAACACACACACACACACCCTGCACACAACACCCCGAGGCTCAGTCTGTCCCCGCGTCCCTTGGGAGGACACGAGCGGCAGCCGCTTGGCACAGTGACCGCCTTGACTGCAGGAACAGGATTAGCAGTGACAAAATGATCTCTTTATAGGCCGGATAAACGCCTTAGGGCCAGGACTGAGGTATGTCAGCAGAGGATTAGCCCCCCTCCTCAAGTCCAGCTGGGCTAATAAGCTGCCTGGGGTAAAGTAGCCAAGGGGCATCGCTGCAGGGCTGGCAGCCTCTTGCTGCTGTGGTTGCCACCATCACCGTGTCACGTCTGAAGCAAAGTGTGACCTAACGGCTGGGCGTTCTCCTCCCACCTCACAGGGTGTTGGTATGGCCAGTCCCCGGCCTCCCAAATATCTCCTCGTCTTTGATTTCGACGAGACCATCATCAATGAGAACAGCGACGACTCCATCGTCCGGGCAGCGCCGGGGCAGGCGCTCCCAGAGCACATCCGACAGACCTTCCGCGAGGGCTTCTACAACGAGTACATGCAGCGCGTCCTGGCCTACATGGGGGACCAGGGGGTCAAGATGGGGGACTTCAAGACTGTCTACGAGAACATCCCCCTGTCCCCCGGCATGCCAGATCTCTTCCAGTTCCTCTCCAAGAACCACGAGCTCTTCGAGATCATCCTCATCTCCGATGCCAACATGTTCGGCATCGAATGCAATCTGAGGGCAGCTGGTTTCTACTCTCTCTTCCGCAAGATTTTCAGCAACCCATCCGGCTTTGACAAGAGGGGGTACTTCACCTTGGGGCCCTACCACAGCCACAAGTGCCTTGACTGCCCGGCCAACATGTGCAAACGCAAAATCCTAACGGAGTACCTGGCGGAAAGAGCCCAGGAGGAGGTGGAGTTTGAGAGGGTCTTCTACGTGGGAGATGGTGCCAATGACTTCTGCCCTTCCGTGACTTTGACTTCAGCTGACGTGGCTTTCCCGCGGAAGGGCTACCCCATGCACCGCATGACCCAGGAGATGGAGAAGAAGCAGCCTGGAACCTTCCAGGCCACTGTTGTCCCGTGGGAGTCAGCCGTGGAAGTTGCCCGCTACCTCCAGGAGATCCTCAAGAAGAAGTGTTGAGGATGGCTTGGAAGAGACTTGCTTCCCATAAGCAGCTGGGAAAGGAGAAGCTTGGGGCGGGGGGTGTCACGTCCTGTACCCCACGCTTATCAGCACTGCTTGCTCGGCCCCCACTCGTGGGTTGCTTTCCTGCCTTTCCTCTCTGAGCTCCTTCCTCCCCGGTGACTAAAGCACTTTCTCTAGGTTCCCCCTTCTCCCCCTGCCATGTTGAGACGAAGCCTTCTCTATGCAGCTCGGACATCTACTCCAGCGTGGGTGTTTGCTCACATTAATGGTGATTGTTTTCTGTTGTTTGTTTGAGTTGGGTTTTTTTTTTTCCCTTTTGACTCCCCTAAAAGACCAGAAGCCAGCTCCTGCCGTGGGCTGAGCCCTGCACATGCTTCCTCCTGCCTTCATCCCCCTCGCCTGCCCAACCTCTGCCGGCCACGTCAGGAGCTGCGTGCCGTTGCCTTGAACCTGACTCGAGGCCTACTTGCCTCTTCATGAGCCCACTGGAAATTTAATCCAGGAATTTCGTGCTGCCTGGGCTACCCGGTTTGCCCTCCGCACACCCCGCCTGGGCAGGGCAGCCTCTGGCTCAGCTGCTGAGCTTTGTGATGGAGTTAATTGTCCCTTGAGACTTTATTCTCTGCCAAAAAAAAAAAAAAAACCAACCCACACTATGATGCAAGGAACAGAAAAACCTTTTGGAAAGGCGGTACTTTGGAAAAAAAAAAATCTCCTCTAGCTCATCCTCACCCACTTGCCCAGGGCACGGGCACAGCAACCGCATCCCGCTGCGGGGAGGAGGACCTGCCCTTGCCTTCCACGTCCATCCTCTGCTTCTGCTTCCAGGGAAAACCGTCCCCCCAAAACAGCCCCAGGGTGAACACATTCCTCTGGCCCCGAGCCGTTACCACTCCGTCTCCTTGTGTTTGCTGGATCCTGACTCCCCTTACCCCGGGGAGGGGAATTTCCCTCCTGAGAGGTGCCGAACCTCCTCGGGGAGGTGTGGTGGTGCTGTAGCATTTCTCCTGGCATTGAGACCCCGGAGACCAAACCCCCCCACACCCCATACCCCCTCGTCCCACTGCAGTATTAATTGCCCCTTCTAATTGCACTCTGCAGGAGGGACCTACAGTATTCGCTGCTCTCTGGTGTTGGCTTCTCCTGGATTTATCCACAGCCTTACCGGCCCCTGAGGGTGGCTCGTAATTCCTCCGAAGTGTAGAAACCCTGACAGCAAACCTGAGCAGTAAGGAAATAACCAAAGCAACCCTGAGTTGTTCCTCCTCTATTTCATTTCCCCCCTTCTTTGTTCTTCCTCCTCCGGACCCTGTTCAACTGTGTGGAACTTAAAGCCATGGAATTAAAAAAAAAAACACAACATATATATGTATATAGATATATATCTATATATTGCAGATACACAAGTTGTTTGTATCCAGGACATAAACCTGGGTGTGAAACGGCTCTCTGAGTTGCACCTACGTGTTGTTTCTCTTCCCTGGGCTGCTGAAAGCGGGGGGACAGCGTTGGAGGGGGAGCAGCAGAGCAGGGCCAGGCTACAAGCAATGCTCTGCGGGGGGACCCTGTGGGAACCCCCTTTGGTGCAGGTTTGGGGCCTGGCTCATCCCCCTCCGCCTCTCGAGCTGATGGGGACAGCAGGTTCCCTGCGGCCACAGCTCCTCCTCGTCCCTGTGGGCGTTTGGCCTCGCCTCCTCTATCTGTGCTTTGGTGCAGTGCCCCAGTGCTAAACCTTCCCAGCACCACCCGCAGCCAGTGGGGGTGAAATTAAAAAAAATATATATATATAAAGAGGATGGGAGACTGGGCAGGGGGATGCTGCGGGCACTGGAGGCTGCCCGGGCGAGGGCTGAGCTGTGCAAAGTCGCCGTTCAAAGGCCCGAGCAGGAGCAGGATGCGGCCAAAGCCGGGCGGGTGATCCAGGGTGGGGGGTACAGGGGGGTGCTGCCCGCCACCGGCGCTCAGAAGGGCTCCACGTAATTGCCAGGGAAGAAACCCGCTTCCTCGCCCATGACTCCCTCGCACCAGCCGTCCGAGTAGCGCCGCGTGACGAAGAGGAGGGTGCCAGGCTGGAAGGAGAGCTCGTTGTCCTTCTGCCGCGTGTAGGGGTAGAGGGTCACCACTGCGAGGAGGGGGAGAGGGGCCATGGAGCCCAGCAAGGCCCCCCCAGGGGACAGGGCGCCGCCGGGAAGGGCAGGAGGGGGGGATGTGAGCCCAGCGGACCCCGGTGTCAC